TAACTGCATTAAAATCACTGCAGGGGTAAGTTAACTGATAAAACATATTTTAGTCAACATCTGACTCTTAAGAGCTTTGTTCAGTTTATGCACTGTTAAAAACCTCAAGCCTCAGCCAGAAACACTCATCATCTTTCTAAAATTAGTTCGGGAGGAAGCAGCAATATTAGTTGATCGTGCACTTTTCACCTCCCGGTATTGCCCGCATCTCTGCGAGCCTGCCCCGTCCTACATTGCCTCGGTCTGCTTCCCTTTCTGCTGCACCTCTGAATTTTGGGGAGCTGGTGTAGCTCTCCAGTGAAGCATCTCTTATTAAAACCAGGTCACTTTTCCTCTGAGCTTTCCTATTGTGTGCGGCAAATGGCCTGGTCGTGTAAGAAAGCTGGAGAGGGTGCGTAGGAGGTGCCCCTCACCGTGCTCCTGCTCTCCCACTGTGGGAGCTGTGCTGTAAAATACCCCGGAGAGGAGAAAGCAGAGGACGTGGAGTGAGAAAAGCAGAGACCTAGGAGCTTGAGAGGGAGGCCACAGTTAGTGTAGGACAAACCATCCTCTGCAGCAGAGAGAACAGATCTCTGAGCAGCCTGACCTCTACCCGGAGGATAAACCCACTGCTAAGCAGACTCACGGGTGAATTCTCCAGCACTCCTTTCCTTTGCTAACTGTGTTGGGAATTAGTATGGAAAGAAGAATTAGTATGGAAGTCTTTTGGACTTAGATCTAGAATGAAATTCTAGTGTGTGGTTATTAATTAATGAGGGGCTTTGATTTGCTGTGGGGTACAGCAAGGGGGAAGAGCAGGTCATGCTTTCTGACATCCCATGAAAAGGAGTGATTTTTTTTCTCATAGGTTTTTAGTGTTTGTCTAAGTTTTAAATTCCATGTGGTGTTCCACCTCTTCCCTTGACATTTATTCCGCAAGCTACAAATATACATAATTGGGAAGTTTTCCCCGTTCGTTGCGAGTTTTCCTACATGCAATTACGTGTGGTTGTTCCGATGTACTCCAGCGCTCCGGATGACATAATTCTCTCGTTGGGAACCTGGCACTCCTCAGAAGTCTGCGGGCGGTTGGCCTATCACCCTGCCGTCTTCTTGAGCGATGCTAGAGGCGTTTAACTCTTCATCTTTATTTTCTAGTCTGTTGCTTTGCTCTTCTGTCGCAGTTCTTTGAACTCCTTCCAACTTGTCAGCATTTGCAGATCTGCACAGATATTCTGGGTGTTTGGCATATTTTTATTGGGCCTTCCTTTCACCTGATAGAATAACCTCAATTTTGTGCTATAGGCCTGCCTTCCTCCCTGTTTCCCCTGCCGTGTCATGCTGTGCTGTACTTAGTTCAGGTTCTATACTTTGCCCTTGACTGTCATATATGTACGGCAGTTAATATGCATAGTAACGTGAGCACTGTGGTTATCATGTAAGCATCTTCTTCTGAGGGGTAGTTTTGTCTTCATAAAATGTGCTTTTATTTCTGAAAGTTAAACTGAAAAAGCTTGCTGAATACACTCGTATTTAAGTTGGTGTCTACTGTAACATCTGTTATTTTCAACATTGCTGCTTTCCAGATTTCGCCCTCCCACTGCATGGGCTTTTTGGATCATTTCCCTTTTCTTGTCTTAGCCTGCTTTTTTCCAGAATGAATCTTGTTTGATTATTTTCAGACTGCATTTCTATTTTCTCTAAGTCCCCGTGCATTTATTTCTGTGTCCCCATTATTATTCTGGCTCCTCCAAATGTGAGGAGATTTCCTGGAGATTTAAGCTAGCATGCTGTCTAGAGTCTCTTCTGGATCATTAAGGAAAACATCAAGTGAAATAGAACCTCATATAGCTCTTTGTAATATTGTACCTTCTTCTATTTCTTCTAATGTTATCCTTTGCTTTTTTTTTTATTTAAAAGAATTTATTTTCAGTCAATTTTCAAATCAAGTTACAGGAAAAAAAAAAGTGCAAATCACTATCAAATGTTTCCTAAAAGTCAATCACATCACATCTGCTCTTTTCCCTTCATCAGTTTTGGACTGCTAGCCAAAAAAAAAAAAAAAAAAGGGTATGTGAGGGGGCACTTTCTAGCCAGTTCTGCTCTTCTGAATAGAAATCATGGCTGCATTGTCCTCGGACTTCTAGCCTGCTTTCCTTTATAGGAAGCCTTGTGAATTAAAACAGCTGTGCAACCCGTTCTGAATTTTGGTTTAGTGCTGAACAGAGCTGGAGAGGAAACAAGTGGAGTTTATGTATGTGAGAGGGAGAAGGAGAAGGGGAAGTAGTTTTTACCTGCTTGGCTAGGATGTGTAAGTGATGGCAGTTTTCTGTGTTTCTTAAGAGCCAGTCAAATCTGTAATGATCTTATGCTCCTAGACCTGGGCTTCCCTTGAAGTCCCATGTTTTCTGCTCTCCCGTGATCTGGGTTGCCATCAGTGTTTGAAGCTCTGTTTAAACCGAAGGTATGAGATGAGGCCTGAGGGGGTTCCTCTGGTTTAATTGCTGTTCAGTTATCACTGATACATATTAAAAAAGAAAAGAAAGTAATGCTGAGAAGTCCTTCAAAGTACAGCAGGTAACACAACTGCTTGGGGCAAGAAACAAGGGAATTAAGACAGAAATGGGATGATGACAGAGACTGAAGGAAAGAAAGCATGAGAATGCTGAGCCAAGAACTCTTTCAGTGGGGACTGTGAGTTATAGTCCCTGGGGATCGTGCAAAAGGCATCCCATTCATGGCTTTTTTCTTTGACCTGGCCATAATAAAATCTCGAAAGTTTCTGGTGACAGTAATGCCTGCGTTGCACTGGTCGAAGCAATATTTTATGCCAGTGATTTAAAAGGATGGTTAGTACCCCTTTTCGGCTGGGGTAAGCGGCTGGGAGCAAGCAGAAATAAATTCAAACTATTTTTCTAAAAAGGCTCTGACTGTATTACCAGATTGTGCACTGCCTTCCTCTTGCTTTTGCCTTCGCCGCGGCCCACCCTGGGCTGCACAGTGCTCTGCAGCGTTTCAGCCTGGTTGTTGGCATCTGGAGAGCCAAATCCCTGGTTAAAAAGTGGGCTAGGGCTAGGGAAAAGCTTCAGCCTGCCATGCTTTGTACCAGCAAAACGTGTGCTGGGGCCCAGAGGTGCCGAGCATGACCCAGCTTGGTGGGTGCTGCGAACCAGGCTCGGCCTGCGCTCGGGCCTGCCCTCTGCTGCGCCTGGTGCCCCGCTTGGCCCCTAGGTCCCTTTGGTCCCCACCGCGCGCTTGCTACGATTGAATGATTTGTTTTGGCTTTCCTTTCTTATTTACTGCGATGATCAAAGGACCCACTCCTTGTGATCGTAAAGGGAAGCCTTGAGATCTTATTTAAGAGCGCAAATATTTGGGGGGCTTTGACAGATGTGCTTTGAAAATAACACAGATGTGCAGTGTCAAATTTCACTACTGCATGCAGTGTCTTTGTCTCGAACTGTAAATTTAACTAGTAGTGCCGGGCATGTGCTTTTCCAAGGCCCTTCCCGCTGCAACAGAAGAAAAATAAGGGTTTTTTTTTCCCTCGACTTTGCCCCTTTAGAGACTTTGAAAGGAAAATTGTCGTAGCAGAGTGAACATTCAGCCCTGCAAGACTGCAAATGTATGGGTTATTTTTAACCTAATTACCTCGAATTAAACAAAAGTTTAGTTTTTTTTTCTTGAATTGAAAATGAGGCTAAATAGACTTTATTTGCAGTGAAACTTCAGCAGAAGACATACTTCTTCCATTGTGCAGTCTAGAATAATGCCCGTGGCACTGCCTTCTATTAGGGAACAGTACTTGATTTTCTAAAGCACTGGCTTTTATGAGTTGATGCGAGAGGATATGCAGCTACAGAGCAGTTCACTCCTTTCCCATCCTGCGGATACCGTGATCACTTTGGACTGGTGACATTTTAGATGGAACGCAGTCTCCTTACACTTGCCTGGCAGTGGCTCATTAACTGCACGTTAATTGAAACTGAAAGTTTGTCAGATGATTCAATTCAGTTACATGTTAAGTGGATTCAGTGAAGTAAGCATTACTGCTGTGGTGAAAATCTCGGTGGAATTGATTTGTGAACTGATTTGGAGGGATTCAACGACTTCATCAGCAGCTCAGAGAGATCGGCCTTGTGAGAAGCGGTGGAGGTTGGCCCTGTTCTGAGCAAAACAGATCGTACTGTTCTGCTTCCCCCAAACCGCTTTAATTAGTGCCCAGTGTGTTGCCTTTCTAGGACATGTGTTAGCTAAGATTACTCAGGAGAGCTGAGAAGAGAAGAAGAAAATTGAAAGGATTGAAAGTCTGAATTCAGCAATTTAAATAGTCGAAAATGTTGAATTCCCTGTCTCTCAGTGGGCTGAGCAGTCATAAACTTTACCTGAGTTTGACTCAAACATATGTTAAAATAAAAGTGTATCTGCTTTAAACTAACAGACAGAAAATTCAAAATTTATATTCTCCATAACTCATCTTTTATATTGGGCCACTGCAAAAGTCCATTAAGTGAGCAATTTATTCTGTATGCTGTATCTGCTTATATGCTTGGTTTCAGTGTGGAGCCAGTTTTTATTGCTGAGTTATAAACCTTTTGAAAATAGGGGCTTGTAATGGAAACGCTGACAGACCTTTAACTAGGTCAGTCTTATCTGGCTCCATTATCTTTGCTTTTGTTAAAGCATTAAATGGCTGCATATTTGTTTATTTTTCTCACACTCCCAGAATTTTAGCATGGGTATATTACTGAATTGTTTTTCCTTTAAAATGTCACAAACATGCCGCATTAGAGAGTTTATCCAAACTTCGCAGTGGTCTCTAAGAGTAAATTGAACTGTTGTGTCATTTGTGATTTCCTTGCTTATACCATGCATTTAGTTTGTAGTATGTCATTATGATACTAACACTAGATTTTTGTTTTTTCTGCATGTATTTTATTTCAATCTTGAAATTTGCTTGGTGTTTTGTGCTACTGTCTACGTGAAATGATAACTGTGTTTTTTTGTTTCCCCCCATTCAGATGAAAAGCCGTACCACTGCAATTTTTCTGAAGAGGAGACACCTATGGCAACATCTCAAGTGGATGAACTTCCGAAGCTGGGAAGCCACAATGTCAGAGAAAATGATGCCAGTGAGTCTAAACCAGAGATACCAGCACTGGTGTCCGCACTGGGGAATGTTATCAAGGAGCCGTTTTCAAAATACCGAGATCTGAAAGGTTCTGCAGATGTAAAGATGGCAGCATTTCACCACAGCCAAGGGCTTCCTTGCTCCAGTCACATTGTTAACTTTGCTCCAGGTGTGAGCCAAACATCTTCAAACGTAGCCATGGGCTTGAAAACATCGCTTGAAATACAGGCTGGTCGCCATAAAGAAAATTTGCCAGACCTATGCAGGGAGCATCGTTTCATGGAAAAGGGTGCTGAAGCTCAAGAGGTAGCCCCACTCGATTTGAGTGAAAAATCAACAAGGGATAATTTATGCAATAAGAATTTGAACACATCCTTGCAGGCTGCTTTAATTATCTACCCGTGTCCTTTCTGCAGTCACAAGACCTACTACCCTGAAGTCCTGTGGATGCATAAAAGAATTTTGCACAAAATCAGCTGTAACTCCATGGTTCCCCCTTGGGTCCAACAGAACGGATTCAAGAGTATTAAGAACAACTTGGTTTTTCTGGCAAGGAGTGGGCGCACGGGCCCCCCTCCTGTTCTCGGGGGTAAAGAATGCCAACCGCTGCCTGTCGCCAGATTTACGCGCACTCAAGTGCCAGGTGCTTTGCCAGGATCCAAAAGCAGCTCCCTTCCCGTTGGGATGACCCCTAAGTCTGGGAGCATGCATCAGCCCAAGGACAGCCATGCATTTGGCCACTGTGGTCCACGCGTATCAGGTTTTGATGGCTACAGGCAGCCCAAATTAAACCATTCCCAGGAGCAATACGGCATAGCAGCGCAACAGCCTCCCCTAAAAAATAAGTATGAAGCAAATTCCAAACTTATGCAAATGGGAGCCTTTGGCAGGAGCATAACGCCTACTCAGACAGTCATATCCAGGCCTGGCGCACAGCCTACCAACAGTAAGCCAGTGGAAAAGTATGTGGTTCCCCAAGGAAGTAGCAGCTTTACCCCCTCAGGTAAGCACTGCGCAGCCGATCCCGGGAAGGCCAAATTCAGCCCCTCGCCGCAGTATCACTCGCTGTGCAAGAGCGAGCCCTACGCCAAGCACGAAGAGCCGCCCGTGCCGCAGAGGGAGTCCCACATCAGGGCTGGCAATGAGCTGAGGACACTGGCAAACTGCGGTGCCGTGGCGCGAGCAAGTCCGCTCCTGCAGCCCCCGCCGAGCGCGGTAGGAGTCTCTCCGGCTTTACACTCCAGCAAGCAGGAACTGGGACCAGACGGGCATGAAAAGCGTTTGGACATTTTAAATATTTTTAAATCGTACATTCCAAAGGACCTTGCTTCGTTGTACCAAACCTGCGGTGCCAACAGCCCTGTCCTGGATCACGCAGGTATGATTTCCCAGGCCCCGCTTCGCTGTGGAGCCGACTCGCTTGCTTCTCTTTTGTTTTGAGCTGTCGAACGTGTTTTTTACAGTTTCTTCCTTCCTTCTCTCCTTTTAACTGCTGGGATTGTAAGTTCCTTGTTTTACCATCGCTGGATAGGCTCGAGTAGATTTGTTTATGTATCTCTTAACGTTGCAGCATCCCCGCTCACGCACGGTGACATTTCTATCACAGGTCAAATGTATTTCGTTCCACCTGGCGTATTGCTGCTCCTTTGTCCCTCCGCTTCAAGCAGGCTGGAGTTACACAGATGTTCTGTCACACGAAGATCCCCGTGATACGCTGGTGCTGGCACACATCATAATCTTTTTGCTTCAGGCAAAATAAACATCCTCTGGGGCTTATCTGTGATGTTATTTTGGAGGATTTGTTCAATTTCCTCTGCAAACAAGTTTTCCAACAACAGAGAGAGATAATCACTTGTCAGTGTCCTTTGTCTTTCTTGACAAAAGTCTTAAGATCTTCCTTGTCCATATCAAAGACTACTATAGTATTTTTCAGATGATGCTTTTGATCTGTTTGTATGCTTATAATTAAAGAGAGGCAAAGCCAGATAGGTGGCTGCAAATTCACATAAGCAGCAATGGCAATCATGCAAATAGCTGGTTTAAAGTTCAGGGACTAAAAAGAGTACCGCAGCTCTCCGTCTGTCTCTTGCTAGTCAGCTGCCAAGTTTAAAAATATAAATAAATAAATAAACACATGCATTTGTTTTTGAAACCATGCTTTTTTGACTATCTGCCAGATTTATTTTGTGTCAGTGGAAACTGAAAATCACAGTGATCTACTACTCCTGAGATGGGTGGGGGCAGAGAAAGGGAACCACAGTCCCACCTCAATACTATTTGTAAACCATACCTTTTTTTTCATGTACTTTCTGTCAAAGTAGAAGCTGTGCAAGAAATTAATGCCACGTACACAGAGCAGTCATTTCAGACCTTTCTTCCTACAAGCATCTAGTATCCCTAGCAGGCGTGATGCTCTCTACCTGCCTTGTCAAAGGAATGTGTGAAATGGAGCTTGCGAGTGTCTTTTGTAAGTGGGATGAGAGCCAGGACACTGGGAAGCTGATCGTCTAAGGACAGTTGGGATCAAGTTCCCAGCAGGTGTGCAGGCTTGCAAGCTGACCGCTCCGGCAGCTGGGAGGCAAGGAAAGGCTGTGAATGTTCAGGCGGGTCTTTGTTGGAGGCCTTCTGGAAAAGGCAGGGAGGCAGGATTGATCTGAAATAGTCCATGAGGAAGGACTTCCAGCCACTATAGCATCAGTTAAAAGTATTGCTGTTTTGAGAAGTTTGAGCGCAATTGTTATTTTTAATGAAGTTGATTGTTACTTATTAAAGGTATCATTTTGCAGGTATTGGAGATTATGGATTATAGCTATCATGCAGTTCCTATTAAAAAAAATACACAAGACAAAGACCTTTTCTGTTTCTGAAAAGTGTTAAGTATTTCTCTGTTCTGTGTCCATTAATCCACAGCTGATTTTCCTTTTGCCATCACTGTGCCTGCCCTAAGTAAAACTAATTGTTCTTCCATCACTTTGGGGTACCTTAATTTGGGTGAACTCTCCCTGATGTTATTTAATAGTGCATCATGTCAGTCTGCTCAGAGCAATCTTACTGGTCAGGTGAGCTCCCAGCTGTGTTAACAGGGATAGAGAAAAGCAGTAGGAGCTGACTTCAATGAATACAGGTGTCAGAAAGTATATGAGAAGTGTAAGGGCAAGATATTCAAGGAATTCTCTGCTTATCTGCTATTAAAACAGATTTTATTGTCAAATAGTTCTTTTTGGGGGGGAGTGATTTCCAAAGACATCACTATGACAGGACACGATATTTAGTGTTCATCTTTGCTTTAAAATCTCTTCTTTCAGAGTGCTTTTATAGCCATCATGTTTTCAGAATTGGAAACCTTGTGTTTATGCAACTTGTCTTCATGGTATATACAACTTCCAGGTTGATGGCTTTTCAGACCAATTGGCATGATGACTATTTTTCATAATGCTAGAATAAAAAGCTGCTGCAGGCAAAGGATCAGGGTCCTGCCCTCCCAAATGCAGGAGGCTAACGGAGCCTTGCTGAAATAACACATGGTCCTCGACTGAGCCCTCTGAGTCTTTGTCAGGGTGCATCATACAAATAAGTCTTCACGTGGCAATATGAATATGGTAATCATGACATGAAAAACAAAACCAAAAGTCTGAGGGAAGGCTTGAGTACAGGTTTAGTTGCATGCCTTTTCCCAACTGATCGTTCCCGATTGACTTTACTTGAGCGTTCAGTACACTACCCCGTCCTGGATCATGCTAGGGTATTTTAGCATGTAGTAATGCAGGATTGTGACCTTTGCTTCCATCTCTCTTCATATTGGCTGGGTTTCTTCATGGGGTCCTCATACATTTGTGCTTTTCTTTAAGAGGGTTAGTGTCCTTGGGAAAGAGAGTGGTAAGTAGTGGCGCGATCCAGTAGCAAACACAAAGGTTTCTGTGCTGAGGTTAAGTTTGTTTAGCACTGTTTCCAAAACACTTCTAGGGAAAATCTTTTTGTCGTATTTTACAGTGACTATTTATTTATGTTCGGATTCTTTTCATGAATTGTGGAGTTCGGAAAGGATGGCAGCAGATGCATGCTTTCCCTGGGGCTCCTTTGAGACCAGCTCTGAATATTGCTTTCATAGGAGTTCCCATTCAGAGAGTCACCTTCTCCTTCGTTTACCTTAATTTGCTACTACCTGTAGCCACCCACCATCTTTTGTTCCCATACAGTATATCCTGAGTGACTCACAGGGTTATTGCCTTGCAGCAGTGATGCCCACAGAGCAAAGCTCTGAAATACCAAAAGCCTTATGGTGCTCCTTAGGAAACACAACAATGGCAAACCTACCGGGAAGCGATCCATTTTTTCCACCTGTTTCCTAAATAACTGCACCACATATGTGCTAGAGGGGAGCAAGATGAAAGTGCTGACCCGTTCTCACCTTCTGCAGTTGTGTAGCGCAAGGTGGCTTGGGCCGATACTCTAAGCCCTCCCTGTTAGGGATGCAGCATGGACCAGGCTAGTTGGTATTTGTCTTTAGCCCCTTAGCAGCTGTCAGTTAGTCGGTTAACCTCTCGCCCCAGTTTGCAGGGGCACTGAGATTTAAAGGCTTCCGAGAAGCGGTGTTTTGTGGTGAGTTACTGTCATGGGCGTCCAGGAAGAGGGTGTGCGGATTGAGCAGCGAAAAAGCCTGACCATTTCTATAGGCCTTTGTGTATTTTGTTCCTATTATTGAAGTAAAACATGTAGAGAAGACTGTGAATAGAAGCTCTTACTGCATTTGGCAGCAGAAAAAAACAAGTCTTATCACAGAATTTTTGCAAAAGAAAAAAAAAAAAAGAGGCTTGGTGAAAGTATTTTCCCATTTCACAGGCAGAGACTTGGGGAAATGTCTTTCCAGAGGTCACACAGAGCCATCTGGGGAACCTAAATCTTCCGGGACCTGGGGGAGCCGCTGGGCTGAGAGATGCCCTGGCCCTTCCGCTGCCGGGCTCAGCTGCTGGTCACAGGGCCTGATTCTGGTCCCTTCGTGCACTTCTTTCAGCTTTGGTTTCAAGCTTGCAGTTGTAGTTGTTCTGCTTTTGTTGTTAGCAAAGATGCTAATAATGTGCCAGAAAGTCTGCTTTAATCTGCAGTACCTACTAGGGAAAATCCATCTCATTATATTTCTCTGAAGTCATCATTGAAATTGATGTGATATTTTTTCTTCTTTTTTCCCACTTTTTCCTTTTTTTTTAATTTTATTTTTATTTTTTGCTGAGCATAGAGCATCTGGATTTGGCCCTAAATCATGGATCTTCTTGCATTCAACTGCTAGAAGACAATTCTTGGAAGTGGCTCTGCTAGGCTGCATTATACAGACTGTACTGCCATCTACAGGAGGTGCTGTTATAAAAGGAGATAAGATAAATAGGATTTTTTTTTCCAGACAGACATTTATTTACAATTTACATGGTGGTAGAAACCATCACAAGACACTGGTGCCATACCAGCAGGGTGGATGGCAGAGCAGCTTCTTTTCCCTTCCTTCTCAGGTACAGCAGTCTGTAGTTTGGATGAGCCCTGTGTGCCCTGCAGTTGTTTTTTTGTTTTGTCTTTTTGGGGTGTTTTTTTTTTGCTTTGCCTTTTTTTGCCAGTTTTTGTTCACAGTTTTACTCTACTAAAACACAGGAGGGAGAGCTGAAACTTGACTTCCGCTGACAAGCCCCTGAGAATTTCTTTAAAAGCCAAAGCATTCCGATGGCAAATAAAAACATCAAGTCTTTCTTTCCGAGGAGGGCATTTTACCAAAATAGAAAAAGATGATGTTCAAGCATTTTTTTTTAGAAAGCCCAATAAAAGTCAAATGTGTCTTTTTTGATCAGCAGTAAAAAGACAAAGACCAGCCCTTTAAGTCAGATACTGTAAACTGACCTTTGGAGAAAAAGGAGAGGTTTGAGTGGTTTTCCACAAATGCTAATGGCCTAGAAAACATGTTTACCGAGGGCTGGTAGGAGGCTGCTGTGCTGCAACTAGCTCAAAATGTCCGGGATGACACTTTCATTCACAGATGTCTTTCGTCTGTGCCTCGGAGGTCCGAGGTCAAAGCAGCACCGGCAGGCAGGTAGGCAGGGGCGAAAGGTTTGATCAGTTTGTGATGGCTCCACTCACTCTGCATTTGTCTCCAAGGTATTGCCGCCCGGGGGGGACAGTCGGGCTCTGGTCCTACTCACTTCCTATTATCCATGTGACTTGTCTCCGCCACGCTGGAGTCACTTTGATTTGCCTGATGTACTGCTTGACAAAGCTGGGTGATGGCTGAAAAGTGGATCCAGCTGCTCGGAGAAGCGCACACCTGACATGCCAGTCCTGGTGCGGGCACATCACGGGGAGCGTTTTTTAATTCAATGTAATTTATGCATTCTTGCAGTCCTGTGTGTGCCTGGCCTGTCAGCCAGTGCCTAGATGAAGGCTGACAGTTGTCATCCAGGGCCTGAAGGTAGCCTCACATAATGACACATTAGACATACTAATGATGTTTTCTTCTGGCATAATGTTTTCTTCTCAACTTTCCTCTCTCCCCCGCCCCCCCTCCCGCTTTCCCTCCCTCCTCCCTTCCCTTCCTATCAACTACAGGGATGCTTAGGACACAAACACGCCAAGGAGACTGTGTCTGCAGAGAATGTGGAAAATGCTTTAACCAGCCCAGTCACCTCAGGACTCACCAGAGGTCTCACGCAGGTAGCTTTCCTCACTCCTCCTTGCTCTCTCTCTTTCCTGCATTCCTTCTTTCTGACCCAGCTAACAAAATGCTAGGAATTAACATTTACATCCCATGTTAACCCAAGTAATTCCAATACCTAAATCTCACGCGCGAGTTCTTTATTTTTATGGCTATCGCTCTTGTTCTCCACACGTTCCTTACCTGATTCCCCCCTCCATCCCTGAACTCTCTAAAATTGCAATGCATTTAAGATAAGTCTGTTCGCAAATGTTTTATTTTAATTAGAGAGTAGGCTACTCAGAAATGAATATGCTAATGAATTCTGTTGCCACCAGCACAAATTGAAATCAAAGTACCCCTTTCAGCAGAACATAAGGCTTTGTTTTGCCTGATCGTCGCTGTTGACAGGAACGTTTTTGTAGGAAACTAGATTTCCCCCAGACAGGTCAGTTACAAAGATCTGAAGCCCCTGGCAGCCCTTTTTAACCGGGAGTGGTGAATCGTTGGGAATGTGGGAAGCTAAAGCTACCGGTGTGGAGATACCTCCTGAGCGTTACACAAGACAGTGGGACTGGCGGGTTCTTCCTGGGAAGTGTGAATGATGCATATATAAGCCAGTCTGATGCAAAATGACAGAGGCCAAATGGTAAGTAATGCAAGAAGAGGGTCCCTTTACACATACACTGATAATTAATGTTGTCAGTGATTGCTTTCTTCAGCACTGAAGTCTGAATTAAAAAGGGCAGTAGCCCTAGGCTGCCATTAGCACACTCTCTTACAGTAAGTGTTACGGTAAATTGGTATTTTCCGGCCACAGGCTAGTAGCTGGTGTCTTTTTTTGAACGTGGTTAATCTGTAATGGTCTCAAATAATGTACACACACTAACGAAGCTTGAATGTTCATCTGCTAACAAGCCCCCTTGTTCCCACAGTGGTATTTGAGTCTAATGGACTCCGAGGTACTGAAGTTCACACCACCTCCGCAGATGCCCCAAAACAAGTATGTTTTACAATTAATTGGGTGTTTGGTTTTTAATGGGGTAGCTGGGAAAAAGTTGCACCGTGATACGCATCGGTAAAGCACTATTTTATATCAAATGTGTAAATAACAGTGTTGCTTGATTTTTAGCTCGTAACATTTTTAAGCCTTTTATCAAAGTCTTATGTAGAGAGACAGTTAATTGTAGACCAGGTAACTGCTATTTAGATGAAGATGTTACTGGATTACTGGGGAGTGGGTGGGAAAGGTAACTGCACATTATACATAACACTGAGATAGCATTTTAGGAATTTATGGAAATAATTTGCTTTTACAACTCATCTCTTGTCTGCTGCACCAATACAGTTAACACTCATCTGTGTTTTTCTGAGGAGTATTCCTATTGCAATATCCTGTAGCTTGTTTTGAAAGACTCATATCTTTCAGTTCTCAGATTCTGTGTGGTGATGTGCTTTCCTGTGTCTATATACAGCACTTCCTATCTTGACAAACACTTCTCAGCACTCTGAATTATACATGGCAAAGCTGTTACGTAGAAAACCATTAAACTGAATTTATTTTGTAGCCCTAATGTCTTTGGAGACCAGTGTCATAACATAGACCTTCTCACTCCATCTTCAACTTGGCAAAGAGGTTTTAGGCCACACCTTCTTGTAGGCAGTTTTCTTTCATTCTGGAGTGCCTTAAGTATCACTTGCTTTTCTGCCTTCCACATTTTCTACTACCTTTTTACTACCACACTTTTCCTGTACTCCTGTCTGTTATTGAACAAATGCAGATGATTTTGGCCATGCCTAGAGAGGATGCAGCTTGGTGCTAGTCCAAGTCTGAGCCTTCATGAGATCTAGGAGCTGCTCCTTAGGCATCTTCTGCAGATGCCACTGCCTTGCCCAGGTCCTTCATAGAGACTCCAAGCGGCCTCCCTGCTTTACTTTCTTCTTTCCCCTGGGCATCCGGAGGCTTCTCTGGAGACCTGGCCTTTGCCACAGGAACATCCAGTGTTGCATCGGGACATAGTTATTTATCATGACTTCAAGCAGTGAGTGTGGCTGGTCTTCACCATTCTTGGCATAAGTTTGAGCCCATTTTCCAGTTTTTAAAGAACTGCAAAACCCAATATCAATAGGTGTTTTTATTAGCAATAGCAAGGGAATTGAAGCCTCAAATGGTTATGAATCCTGAATCTTTCCAAGGATGCTTTTCAGACTAGAGTGTGGTGGGATGTACTGCTGTTGCCTGGACTCTGCTGGAGTTTCCTTCTTTTGTGCTGTCAGGGGGTCACCTTTAATGACAATGAATTTACATGAGAAACTTGAGAAAAATAATGTTAATGTTTTATTCCTCATTCAAATAAGATAGTGCTACCTACTAGAAACATGACTTTAGGCTCTGATTTTAAATTTATTTTCATAACTGCTTTCCCCTACATGTGATTCTCTTTTTTTTCAGAAAGTTCCTTCTACCTTAATTATGCCCTTCTCCCAATTATTTATTGAGCTTGTACCTTAATGAAAAAAATGCAAATTCTTTGTAATATTAATATGATTTCCTATATGTGGTAGAGTTTTGAATGGGATCAGTGTTTTCTGACCGTTACTACTGAATTGGAACTTCTGTATTGCATTGGTGACCCAGCTCCTCAGTTGTTGTTGTGGGGGCTCTTGGTTTTGTGCTTGTGGGACACTACCAGGAAAGTTTTACGCTGCAGTTGGAGAACAGGAGAGCGAGACTCCAATTGGCCTCATCAAAAAGGGCTCTCTTTATGGGGTTTATCTCATAAAATGGTGCTAGGACATCCTTCCTGGTAAAAGCATATAGCAGGGTGAAATGTTTTTGGAGCTTTGGCCCTCTGAAAGACAATATAAGGTCAAAATTGGAAAAAACATTTCCAGAGAATTCTGAAATGGCCATATCTGTCCAAAGAGAGATGTGACAACTCAGTTGGAGTCTTTTTACAGTTCAGGTTATATTACTGCACAATAAATTTACTCATAATCTTGTCTTTGTAAGCTACCACTATGCCAGAATTTATTGACTAACCTCTTCCACAGCAAACATAGTTTGCTGTCGCAGTCTCAGGGCATGTCAATCTGTCTTCAAAGAATTTGATTAAATCACAACATCTCTCAGTACAGCAGGGTACTGGGTGGAGGTTAGGTTCATGAATTGCTTCCTCTCTTGCCAATCAGCATTTCTTTCACAGAAGTTGCAGCATGATCCAGGGGCTTGTTTCCTTCCTTTGTCTTGTTCATTCTTTAATTTCAGCCTTTGTCTCAGTTTGTCAGCATCTATGTCAATTAAAATTATTCGGCTGTCTGCTGTTTTTCTTGTTCTCTTAGCAAACAGGCTTTACGCTCCCCCAGAAGACTCCACACAGTCCCTACCTTTTACGAAGGGAATACTTTCATTCCTACCTGCAGCTTTAGAAGCACAGAAATCAGCTCACACCGGGAAGAGTGCCTGCAGCATTCTAGTAACATAACTATTTCCCACTTAAAACATTGTCACTCCGTGTCTTCATTTCATTTCTTAATTGGGGACAGATCTGTTCATGAGAGTTTACAGTGCAGAGTCAGTTCAAGTAACAGAAGTGCCATGCACATGCTCCCAGCAAGAAACAACAGCTACCACGGCTGGTAGCGCTACAATGAAGGGTACTTTTACATTAAGTGGATGTGATTTGTTTTGCATAATGTTTCCTCCTTACAGGTAAAATATATTCCCTTGAGTAGTCTGTTAAAGAGTAAAAATATTAGCATTAGTATATCATAGTTCCCCCATTTCCTTCAGCAGTCAAGAGAAGGTCTCCTCCAAAGGTTTCCCTCATTAGAACATTAGATAAGGCTTTTAAAATTCCCTAGCATAGTAGCTTACAACAGTGCTACGTTATACAGCTGTCTTCTCACAGAGTAATTTAAATCCAACATGTTAAAAATAAGGTCTACAATCAGGCTTTTTCAAAAACGAGCCAGCTAAATCTATATTTAGATATCTAAATAGGAAACCTAATTTAGGGCAATGAACCGCCAGCAGGAGATGCAGGTGTTCAGCAGCACTGTAAACTAGGCCACATATAGGGGTGTGTAAAGAAGACTATCCAATTTTAATAATATAGCAATGGATTGAAGTATTTCATGTTTTATCATCAATGGAATGTACACAAAAATAGGACATAAGATGGTTGTCTGTCTTATAGCAGTGTTTTCTGCTTTCCCCTTCCACCTGAATATTCTTAAAAAAGTCAAACTCTTTCCATCAAATAAATTTGCTTTGAGCTCGAGAATATTTTCTAGTCTGTCTCTGAAGGACAAAAATGCTCATTATATACCCCAAGTCAATACAGTCTGTGCAAAGGCATGCAGAGTCTCTTGAAATCGTGCCATATTAGATGTACTGAATATTCTGAATATTTTTATAAATGCTAAGTATCCCACTATATCCATAATTAAGCTTGCTTATCCACAATGAATATGTATCTTAATTTGGAATACACTAAGTAGCATCCAAAGACCTGATTTAGTAAGCATGAATTCTGGAAGCACTTGAATTGCTTATGCAGTAGAAGGCAAATGCTGGCTCCCTTTTGGAAGGGTCCCTGTGACTGCATGCATCTCAAAGTCACTGTGATGCTCGGAGCAAAATTCTCCATTCTCAGAGGAGTTACCTGCTTCTGCAGCTAGAAGCCAAATTCCCAGGTGCATCCCGTGGCACAGGAACCATCCTGTGGTCTCCTTGTACAAAATGGTAACAACAGTTTCTAGGACATGTGCCTTGTGTTACGTTTTCAGAAGTGCATGCAATCTTGGCCTATTTCATACATATACATATATATAGAGAGAGTATAGTTTATATACTATACACATATATATAGTATAGTTCATATACATAGTATAGTTTAACCTCTATCTCTGCTATGTTGCACAATATGTGCTAAAGTTTATAAAGGGCAAGTGATCGGGTTTTCCAAAGCCCATGATTTACTGGTTAGCACCAGTGAAAACTTCTCATCTTCTCAGGGTTGTATATATATGTGAAGTCTATTTACAGTGCTGCAATCAAAGATGTAAGATTTCTCTGTTCAGATACACGTTCTATGCAAGTGAAGCAATCAGAAAAAAGAAAAACCTCCAACCTATTCCCCTTCAGAAAAAAAAAAAAAAAAGAAACTTGCCAAAAAAAAAGCAATTAAGAGCTAGAGCCCAGGAGAAAAATAGCTATTGATATCCAGAGTATCTCAGACTGAAGCTCTTCTTATGATAAAATGTAGGGGAACTCTTTTTAAGTGAAAAGAAAAGGAAATAGCACAGTTCTGGAAGCTCATGAACTGAAAGAGACAGCAGAACAGTTTGTTAGGAGAGCTGTATACAATCTTCATTAAGGAAGCAGAGCCATAAGCCCTCATTCTCAGCAGAATAACAATTCAAAAATATTTTTGTAATGTTCAGCGCTGAAATAACATGAATGTAAATGGGTCAGAATTTAGGGAATAGACAGACTGCAAAGAACCATCAGGAAAACACTATATAGGTTGTGAAGGGGCTTGGGGGAAGGCTGAGGACATCCGTTACCTTTAATGTTCATATAGGCCAGCTGCAGTACTGGCTTGTCCCCTAGCTGGGGAGAGAGGGGAAAAGAAGAGGAAAAAACAGTAAAAAGATTTTTAAACCATTGGTTTCTGGTTATTCTGTTTTGTTTTGATTTTTTTTTTCATTTTTAGATGTTAACACTGTCAGTTTGAAGTCCTATTTATGACATTTGTTCATGTGAAGCATCTTGCCCCAGTTTCTTGTGGAGTTTCTTTTAAAGATCATGATTAATAGTTCAGTCCTCATTATTGCAAATGTTATTTTTAAATAGTTATTCTGAGAACAAGAATTCCATTAATCAAAATAATAGATAATGAACAAATAAATGGCAACCTAATTTGTCTCGTTCATACATATGGAGATTACAGTGCAAACAATCAAGGCATCCTGGAGGCGGCTCTACTGGGCTTTGAGCAGGGTGTAGGTACTGTGTGTCCCTTAGCTTATGAGCACGGTGGACAGAGCTCCAGCTCTCGTCCCAGTGTTTTCCCCTTGCCTAGAAACCACTAAAGTATCCGTGCTCCAAGCTGATCACTGCTATTTATTTAAATGGCACATGTTAATCCGCTTCTAGTGCATTAAAATGCCGTAAGTGAAATCATCCTCTTTCCAGTTAACTGGTGAAATCCCCCAGAATTCAGTATGAAGACAGTTTTGGCATGGAAGCTCTATGTTTTATTTACTAGAACAGCTGTGCTTCCCCCCCACCCCTTTCTTAAAATGAAGAAAACCTGCGTTTCGCAGCGGTAAATTTTCACTTCAGGAAAAACGCAGTACAGGTGTCTGTGAGGTGGTTCAAACACAGGCTCGCACACCCCTGTATGCTTAAGCCAGGTGTTTAGCAATAGGTTTTAATTTCCTGCTGGAAAACAAAGCTTTGGTCCCTTTTGGAAAAGGGAAGATACCGAGAAAACGCACGCGAGGGAGCCGCAGGGTCGCTGTCCGCTCGCCCTGGTTTCGGGCGCGTTTCCCGGTGGGGTGGCGGTCCCTCTTCTCATCTCTTCCCGGGCTGCTGTCCCACAGGGCCGGGCGGCAGGGAGCTTGTGGTGACAAATGCTCCTCACGGGATCGCGGCTCTGCCTCTCAGGTGCGATGCAGCCGTGCAAAAATGTAAAGCATCCTCCCGAGTTTACTGCAGGAAATTCAGCATCCAACTAAGGAAGTTTTATCACATCTCTCATTCAGTTACTGTTTCCTACATTTCAAATATACTGCGATCTGTACAGAGGCTTTTTTTTGCTTTAATTTTGTTGCAAATCTTTCTGACTTAGACCAAACTTTGACTGGTAAATGTCATGAATCTTGGGCCAGGTTTAATTAGGAATTTTCTAAATCTATTAACAAAAGAGATGCACTTAATACATTATGTCAACCAGATCTGGGCTTTCTTTAGCTATTTCTAGGGCTGCCATAGGCACAGCTTGAAACTTGCTTGGATTTTACATGGGTGCCGTATTTTATGTTGCATTAATTTAAAATGGTCTGTTTCACTTCATCAAGACTGTAGCTTAAGGATAATGCATTTATGTAAGATTAATCTTGCCATGTTGTTTTAGGATCAGGATTGTAAACTGCATTGTTCCGACAGTGATGTTCTAAATGTCATTTTAAAGCTTCTCCCGGGAGCTGCAGGCTCCCACTTATTCACGATTTTATCTTTAATTTCACTTGATTTTTAGAATATCCCTTCTATTTTTTTTCAACACAGTAATTATTCATGGAAATTGGCTTAAAAAAAAAAAGATAAAGATGACAAGTGAAGGTGGTGGTGGGGAGCCCTGCTTCTTAGCCTTTGACAGACCTGCACAAAATTCGACTTTTTTCTTCTCTTAGCTGTCGCTGTGACCTCAAACTTCAGTCTTTTTAAAAGATTGTGATCTTGTCACGAATCCCTTTCGGCTGACACAAAATTCTGCTTTTTGGGAGGCCTCCCTGCCGCCTTCCCTCCCTCAGTGTTCATAACCTTTGCGGAATTGCTCCTTCGCACACCACTCCTTGCTACGTTAGTCCGTCCACCAGGTTATAGGGGCCTGCTATGCTTTGCTCTCGGTGGAGATTATTATTAAAAATATATGTTTATAATGCTCTGCATGATCTGTATGATGTGTCAGGTGAAAATTAACATGCAATTAGCACGCACAAGGAAAATAAAAGGTGACTGATGCCCCAAAGAGGCTCGGGGTGAGGGGTGGGTTGCCTGGAGCAGAGGTGCAAAGGGAAGGGAAAGGAGGCCGAGAAAAACAGAGCTCTCCTACTTATCGTCTCTGTTTCTTTGGCAGGGGAGAGACCACCCCAGCGCGGACGCTGTCCACACGGTGCCTCTGCGGAAGGGGACCTAGGGCCGAGGTCCCCGGGCCCGCGGGCGGCAGCGCTCCGTGCCCTGCGACGAGGGGGATCGCCTCTGCACTGTTAATCACGTTGAAATAAATGAAGATGCTACACGAGATATATATAAATTGACGTACTAATCAGTCCCCTGGTTCCTTATTTCCTTTATAATAAACAGTGGAGCTGGCAAGCACTGTGGCAGCACAAGGCATCTATATTAATCAAGAGAAGTTTGAGACACTGGAAAAAATTAAACTTCATGTGATTTGGACGGCATGAAGAAGTTAAGCACTGTAACAAAAACCTCCCTGATGCTCACAATGACTATTTGATACGTTTGAAAAACAGCGGTGGATTCGAGGGCTGGAGAAGTATTAATTAATGAAACTGCCACTGCCTGTCACGCTGAAAAGCAAATTTTTTTTAAAAAAAAGAGGAAGAGCAGGGGTGGGTGTGGGGAAAAGGTGGCATTTGGTGCTGAAAAAGCAATGCTTGATGAAGGATTAAAGGGACTAAGGAGAAAGACCGTCATTCTGCAATGGTTTGTTTCATTACAGTTTGGGGACCACTTGCATTTCTAGTGCTCTTGTTCTTGACTGCGCACCATTAATAGTATGTGAATATGGAAATTGAAACACTTCCACAGCACAGCTTCTCTTCTGCTTTGGAAAAGAAAAGCAAGTTGAACACTAAGGAAAACAGGCTTCTGTGTTTTACTCTCAGGACCTTTTTTGTCACAGGGCTACTTTCTTCGACCTGATCACAAAGGAAGTCTTCGCGTATAGAAAACATTAATAAATATTGCTCAGCTGTTGAAAGCCGCTGATCCAGATGTTTATAACAGAAAAAGGAGTCACGGAACAAGTTCAGGCAGACCTTGGCCTTCGAGATACCACAAGCTCCGGCATCTTGCTTGGCTGCCCATCCCCTCTGGGCCTGGTGATGCTCTCGGAAAGACGAGTAACTTCTTTTGTGGTGGAAGGTTAATGTTCCTGTAATGTGTCATGTCTTGTACTTAGTGATCACTGGTGGTGTTGGGGAAAAAAAAAAAGGCAAAAAAAAAAGCTTTATATACCTCTTCTACAGTAACTCTCTAACTGCAAGTTTTCAAGGTGGGGTTGTGGCACATAACAGGTTGTTAAACCATGCAGTGTAAGCAATTAAAAAATGTATTCCACAGATATAAATATTTTCTTTTCTTATTGCTGTGACACTATGTGTGATGGTAATATTTCTGAGAGTTTCAGATTTTGCACATATAATTTTATGCATTATCAAAAGTTACCTGCTGCCTTGAAAGAAAATGTTCTGTGAAAAATTTTGCAAAAGCTTTACTAGTTTTTTTTTTTGTAACATTTTGTAAAGGCAGGAAATGGATTAAAAAACCCTAGCATGCTAAATATATTTTTCAAAAAAGCAATAATTTTACATGTACAGAAATGATGCTAACCTTTAATACAGGTGAGAGCAACAGTTTACTTAATACAGAAATGGAATAGTGCTGTTTTTGTAGAAATGGGCTTCTTACACAAAAATTTGTTTTAATAAAAAAAAGCGTGATCTTTCTGTTCAACGGTTGGGGGGGTGTTTTTTTTTTTAAAAAAAAAAATCTAGTCAGTGATTGATTCAGGATAGTACTTGTTACCTGTTTTAAAAATTACTTGACAGTTTTTGTTACTCTGCAACACTTGCAGCAATGCAAATTAACTTTCCTATGTATTTTTTTACTAGTTTTTCCTTATACTATTACACCAGATGTATACCAGAATTCTCTGTAAATCCTGGTGTAGATAGGAATGTCTGTGCAAATACTTACAAGTGACTGTAATTAACTGTTTTGTGAAGTTATTTTGAGGGAGGTCACATAGACACATTCCATTGTACACCAAAAAAAGAAAAAGGAGAAAAAAAAAAGAAATATTTTGCTGTGTTGCTTACGATTGATCATCATTTTGGGTTTGCACTAGCTTTTTCTTTCTTTTTTTTTTTGTTTTGTTTTGTTGCTTTTCTGAGTCATATTTTCCATGAGTGAAAGTAATGGCAACAGTTCAGGAATGCACAAAAGCTAGTTGCTTAGCCTATTTGTTTGTGTTTTAGTTATTAAAAACTCTTCTGTACCCAAAATGGCATGCAAAGTGTAGTGTACATTTGTAATTTCTCCTTTTTTAAAAATTTCTCTCTTTTTTTTTTCTCAAGATGTTATAGAAAAACTTGGTTAATATTTGGAGCCAAAAGCTGCTTTTTGGAGCTTTTTTTTTTTTCCAGAATATCTGACAGAGAAGCTAGTGCTGTCACTGCTATTGCCAGGGTACTAATCAGCAAAGTTTACAATCATAATTTAGCTACATGAAGAACAACAGTAGGGCAAATCAGTTTAAATAATTATATGCTGTGTATAGCACAGAAATGAGATTTTCAGTTAATTAAACAAGAAATAAGTGTGGGTGGAGGAAAGCCAACCTTAAAGACCAGCTGTTTTCAGAAATGAATCCCATGATTTCTTTTTTCTTCTTTCTCATTGTATCTTATTGATTTGTTATTTTAGTGAGGCCATAGTATTTAAAATGAGTTGTGTTCCTTATTTATTTAGTCAATGGGCTTTGATCAGCTCTTTTAAACAACGTGATAATTTTTTGGCATGACACACTCCTGTAAAGCCCTTTTATGACTGTTACAGGGACTTTCTACTACCTCTACCAATCTACTGTTTCTTCTTCTTAACAGTTTTTTATGGTGTTGCAAGTCTAATGTAACTTAGACAATAAAGGGTTTGATTATCTACGCTGCAGATTTTCAGTGTATCTGCCATCTCTCTTTCTCTCTCTTTCTGTTTTTGTCTTTTTTATTATAGCTAAAAAGCAGGTGAAAGAAAGACCTTCTTTGCCATGATATTTTTTGTTTCCTGAGTGTTCTGCACGGATCAAAAGTCAAACCTGGAGAAACGTTTTCCCCACGGAGACGATCAGCTCCCGTATTGTCATAATTCTGTTTGCATTCTTGAAATTCTTTGTCAAATGTGTCATGAATAAACTGTTGTGTACTGCAAAATGGAAAGCAAATTAGAAAGCCCCAACAGTTTTTAGTTCTGCATTTTAAAACCACTTTAAAGTACTTAGTAAATTGCTGCCCCCGTGTTATGGTAGGTAGACACCACTTACATGAAAACAGCTAGTTAAGAAAATTATCCTTTGAAAGATAGCAGCTTGCATTTTGTAAGGGCGGGGGGGTGGGAGGGGGAAGCTTTCCACTGTTAGCTAATTGTCACTTTAAATCTGTCACTTGAGTGATTTTTCAGGCTTTGACATCATGCATAGTTTGTGCCAATCTTTGTAAACTTGTTGCCTTCCTCGTACTTTGTGTGCGTTTTGCACTGCATGTGTAAATTCTTCATGCTCGGTGCTTCAGAGTATAGTTGACGTTTTGAACTATTTTATGAAACCATGTCCTTCTGCTGGGGAGCGCTGCCTTCTCCTATTTTCTCGTTTTCGTTAAGGGATTCACAAACAAGCCCATGCTTTATTTTGTTTCTCCTTGCTCTTTTCTGGTGTTGAGCTACTTAAAGTGTATCCGCGCTTGTTAGAGTACATTACATTGACACTCATAGGAATTTCTCTTGAGTTGATTCCCCTGTAAGAAAGGAAGAGAAGGCCTGTGTGTGGCCAGAGAAGGCCTGGAACAAAGTCTGAAGCGAGCGGATGACTGGTCTTCTGCTGTGTAAAATGTATTGGGTTAAAATTAGGAAAAATGTCATTTTACGTCAAACCTGTCCCCCAGAAGCCAGTATTTCTTAAGCAGCTCTATGCGAAGCATTGGATTGTAGAGTGACCTTCCTCTCGTGCTCTCTCCACTGTCTTTTGCTGTGGGTCAATATGGGTCTGACATCACATACTGAAGTATATTTTGGGGCAAAACTTGGGCTGAGAACTTGTACCTGAGGAGTGCCTCATTGGTCCCCCAGATTGGGAGCTACTAAAATGAAATTGAGCGTGTTAATATATATAAATATATATGCAAAGAAAACCTTAGCCTTTAATTTTTCATGAATTATAAAACGATTGTGCCTGGAGCCATAAAACAGAAGGGGACAGTTGGCTGAAAAAGCATGGATGTGTGCTGCCTTATGACCTGCTTTCAGTGGGGCTGAATATATGCTGCATGCTCTAGAAGCCATGTTAACTGTGTTGATGTCTGGTTATCATCTCAGGGTAGAATGTGTCTTTTATTGTGATTTTTATTATAAATTTATTTATTCAGCTCAATTCATAGTACTTTTGGAGATCTTTTCCTTCACTTCCTCCCCCACCAGCTGATCTTTCCTTCATGAGGCCAAAGCAGGAGTGAGTAGATGGGAAAAGGATAAGGTACGAGACTAGGTACTATTAGAAACAAGTATTTCTAAATTGATCTCCTGTTTGCTGCTGTTGATCAGAATGAGGGATTATTTTTTGCTATTGAGCATGATAGAAAAGGATATTGTGTAGGAAGAAACAGCAGGAGGAAGAATAGCAGAGACAGTGCTGTGGGTGTAGCTTGGGGCAAGGGATCAAGAGCATTTCCATGCCCCCACCTGTATGGGTCTGAATAACGAGGTGGACGTTGCTGGTGGGGCCATGGGAAAGAGATATGGAAAGAGCACATGAAAGGGTGGAATATAACCCTCTCAAATTCACAGACAGGAAATAATGTCTACAATGGCCAAAATTAAGGGCAAGGGGAAACCAGGAGTGGAGAGAGGTTTGTAAGTAAATGACTAGAAGTCCTCTCTGCATGGAAAAGTTGCCAAGGAAGGCAACATCCACAGGTCAAAGGATGTGGAGAAGCAGCAGAAACTGAAACCTAACTAGAAGAGAAATACCTGTTGGAAAAGGTCCTCATTAAAGAGAGAAGGGATGAAAGGGCAACTTTCGATGGCCAAATCGGAAACTTAGAAAACCTCAGTTCAAACTGGGTGAGTCTTTCTGCTCTTTCTGGGAAGTGTTCTGCAGTGGTGTGAGGCGAAGTGGTGATGTGG